ATTATTATTATTATTATTATTATTATTATTATTATTATTATTATTATTATTATTGTTATTATTATTATTATTATTGTTATTATTATTATGATTATTGGTTTATAAAACATTTTCTGACAAACATATCCTGAGCGTTCAGAATATATGAGTCTGAACGGAGTCCTAGCTATAACTTTACATTACATAAAAAAATTGCTCATTTAATAAAGATTTCAGAAAGGTGCCTTTCTTACTGTTTCGAATTGAAAAAAACAAGTTATAGCCGCTTTTGTGGGTAAAGGACTGAGACACGCTAGAATGTATTTAATAGATTTAAATTTAAGTTGCCCTTGTTACCGACCAATGACATGCTAAATAGTACAAAGGTACATTATTACCTGCTCGTGACATTATTTTATGTTACAACAAGGGCTATATCTATTTATCAATATTTTTTGTGAAGTTGTTTGAAGAAAAATTTATTCATTTATTGATAAAATATGCTCAAATTGGCGACCTTCTACTCTTGGTGCTCGGCACCTTTTAAAAAAATACGCTTTTAGAGATCTTAAACTCAATTGGGCTATCTCAGCAGCAGCTCCATTTATTGTTCCCGCAAATGCTCTTCGTTTTTAATTGTTTTTGAATAAATTTTGTCCTTAAGACAGCCCTACTGGAAAAAATCTAATGAATTCAGGTCTGGCGATCAAGCGGGCCACGTGATTGGCCGGTATCGTGCAATCCATCGGCGAGGATAAGTTTCGTCTGAATGAACTCTTACTTCACGCCCGTAGAGAGCAGGGCACACGTCATTTTGCAGCCATAGTCTTCGCCGCAGGTTTAAGCGTACATCTTCTAAAAGAGTTGGAAGCCGTTCTTCAAGAAACTCTAAATAACTGTAAGAGTTGAGCGCTGGCGGCAGTTCCACAGGTTCCAATATCTGACAATTAAAAATACCGCACCCTAAATTTATTTTGTACCGGTACTGCGAACGATCTTTTCTCATTTCGTGAGGATTGTCTATCTGCCAACTGCGAAGGTTATGTAATTAAAATAACCATCACGTTTGCATGATGATTCATCGCTCCAAATTATTTTATTAAAAAAGTTGGAGTCTGATTCATGCATTCGCAACATTTCACTGCAAAATCTAACCCTCGACAGGTAAGCTCTTTCCTGTAGAGCCTGAACACATTGAATGTGGTAGGGATGAAATCAATGGCCTCTTAAAGCTTTGTGAACTGTAGTTTTTGGTATTCCCGTCCGTCTTTCCATCATTCTCACTGAAGTCGATGGGCCTAGTTCCACTTCCTCTAACACAACTTCAACATCTACCGTTGCAGGACGTCCTGTTTCGCCGCCACGCCTTCCAGGTATGCGACCTTAAAAAAGTGAAAAATGATAGTTAACAAGCAAGCAAACAAGAAAGGTGT